GCGCAGAACTATACAACACTATTGTTTCCAGCATTTTAAACGCTGATCTGTTTATTGTTTCTTGGTGAGATTCTACTTCAACATTTCAACAATAAGTCAGAGATTACTACAAAGAAAAAAAAAGAGAAAAAAGAAACTACATTATTTACAGTGAACAGTGAAATACTGGTAGAGGGAACGTTCAAATTTGTATTTTAAATATGTGAAGATAAAAAAAAAAAAGATGAAAAACAAAAATAGTAATAACGAAGTTTTTTTTAAAGTATATGTATTGTGTAATGTCATTTGCTAAGAAAGGTGATTGTATTAACATTTTCTTAGCTATTATTTCTCAGTTGATATAAGAATTTTATATTTGTTTTATGTATCAAATACTTTTGCTGATTACTGTAGTGGTGGTTGACCACAGTAAGTTACTAGACTGTCACTTTTTTTTTTCTTGGCTGAACCTTATAATGCTCAGTTTGTTGTCTGATTATCTAACAGTATCGTTGCAAACTACTCGGTAAATAAACAAAACTATCTCCATTGATAAAAAAGTCAAAAAAAAAAGTAGAAACAAGCTATTATTTGTCGATAAAAACAGCTTTAAGAGCTACTGTACATTTAGGTAATTTGTTTTATATTATCGCGAGAATTTCTGAACTTCATAGAGCGAAACAATAAAAATATAAATTCTTGAAAAAGAAAGGAACAAAATAATGTAGAATTTTAATTAGCTTTTGAAGATAATTTGCATCACTTTACATTGCAGTATTTTCCAGTTTTGACTTTCTAAGAAATGTAGAAAAAAGAAAGATTATTTGATTGTTTGATACATTACAGTTGTCAGTGAGAAGAAGAAATTGTTAAAAAAAGAAGAAAACAAAGAAAAGTTTCAAAGTTTGGAAATATTAAGTATTGCTTTACAAATAACTGAACATTCTAAGTAATACCTTGCATTAACTTGCCTTCTGTAGCACTTTTTAAGATAGAATCTGTTGTTGACATATAATAAAGTAAATGTCTACTTTGGAGCGGTCAAATTACGGGAATGATTTCTTGTAGTAAGCATAAGTGATATTGCAAATATATTTATTCTCAAGAAAGGATAATCATTTAACCTATTTTTCAACAGTGTTTTGGGCGAAATTGCTGAATTTATACCTGCAACTGAATGAACGGCGGAACCGTACTTTTCGCTAAGTGGAAAAATTATAGTTAAGTCTATGCAAAATGCAGGCTTGTAAAAACAGTGAATTGGAAAAGCCAGATGAACGATCAGATGCGTCTAAATTAATGTTCAACTGTGATAAAAGTTCGTTTTATAGCATACTTGTTTCAACGCTGCTAAATGACAGTGAGAAAGATGGCCAAATTTTGTGAAAAAAAATCTGAGTTTTTGACATAGAAAAAAATTCAAATTTTGAAAAAATGGATTTTGCAGTGACATGTTTGAATTTGGAGGTTACAATTACTAGAATCTTATGAATTATTTGTCTAACCATTCTGCTTATAACTGTTTCTATCTTCAGATTATTTTCAACTGTGTTATTTGAAATTAAAAAAGTCTTCCCCACCCGTTTATGTCAGCTTACCGTCATGTATCGCCTGTCACAGATGTGGATCAATGATGAGGTTAGGAATACGAAAATACAAAGTTAATGGCGCTGTGCGGGTAAGTGCGCAACTTGATGGCATTCTGTTGTTTGTGTAAACTTTATTAAATCTAACGTTTTCTAAAATATTCCAAAGTCTTCGTTAAAACAAAAGTTTTTTTGAATTTTAACTAATGCGTGCATTTTCATGAGCCACTTTAGGAACTTCGGGCTTATCGTTGCAGCAAGAAAGGTTGCCAGACGTTTCGTTCTCCCCAAACACTAATCTATCCTAAACCGTTAAAAAATGCTGGACATGTTAGAAATGTGAGGAAGACTTCACCTGTGAAGTGAGCCGTTTTACTTTAATTATAAATTTGGTTCTTATTTGGTTTTTGTTTTCATCTCGCAGTTTATTTCTATATCGTCATCAGTATGTAAATAAGAGTTCCTTACTGCTCGCTAAATTAGGAGACAGCAGCTTATGAAACAAGAAGAGGAAAAGTACTCCCAGTCTTTGCTTTTTCCTTGGTTGAAAGTATCTCGTTATTCAACAACTTTCGAACTTCGAGTCGTTAAATTTCTTAGTTCAGGGTCAGTTATTCTGCTATTCTAACTGTCTACTTACCAATCCCTCAGTCACATTTTTTTTCTATTACTAAAATATAAGATTTTTTGATGCGCATGGCTTAAGGCGAAATTTTACACCACAATTTGAGCTGTCATTTTCAGCAGTATTAGAAACCTAAATACTGCTTTTTAAAAGGGTTGCGTAAAATTTCTTATAAAGAGTGGCTTTTGGTTAACTTTGGACAGTTTTATTGTCGTTTCAGTGTCCTAAACGATCGCGGATGGGAAAACGTTGGATCTGAACCTTTGAATCGTCTACCGAGTTTCAGTTCAAATTGAATCCTATTGTAATAAATTATAGGGTATTTTAACCCCTTAAAAAATAACGCTTATTACTAGATACGCAGACTTTTGGGTCTCTTGAACTGAACTTCTTCTTTGCAACTATTGTGTTGTAATTTGTAATAAAAGTCTTTTGTATCCTTTTGTGCCGTTCACGTTTCATTGTTGTCTAAACTTCTGATATTACGGCATCTTAATGAGTTGACAAAGTCGAACGACAAAACTTTGGTTAATTGGCAAGTGAACAGCAGATCAGACGTTAAATTACAAATCGTTTTTTTCCGACGTTTGGTGGTCGATTGCTGAGGCTTCCACTTTCGCGGATCATTTTGTTGTTTTTTAAATTC